GGATGGTTTCTTCCAGTTCCATCCATTGCCTGCAAATTTCAAGATTTCATCCCCCCCCACACTGAGTAATACTCCATTGTGTAAATGTTGTTTGATGGGTACAGTTACCTCCTCTTTTACCCATGTAGTGTCCTTTGACTTCTGGAAATGAGTTTTCCTGTGAAAAGAAACACAAAACACTTCCTTTATGAGGTCTCCATTCAGTTTATGAAATATACCTTGGTAGAATACCTGTCATTTCTCCTCGTCGAGAGGTTTTTCCTTTTCAACTCCAATCTTGATCAACTTTGATGGTATCCAAAGTTTTTTTTCTCCTGTGGAAACAAATGCAAAACCCCTACCGCAACTTAACACATGTCCTGGTTTCCATACCGAGGTCAGTACATCTTTGAAGTATACCGGCTGATTCAGTTCAGCAGTTTTTTTCTGTAGTCCAGTGTCTTTCCGCAGCTGTTTGTCCTTTCTCATTGGCATTAAGAAAGTTTAGTGTTAATAAAGCATTATGCAACCTATGTTTGGGGGGTTTGTTCCCCCAGCCTGTTTATGGAGCATCTCCTTTAGTGTTCTATTAGATCTCTCAACCACTGCCTGTCCTGTAGGATTGTGTGGTATACCGGTAACATGCTTTATGTCATAACATTTGAAAAAACTGTTCCAATTTAGTGGAGACATATGCTGGAGCATTGTCAGTTTTTATTTGTGCAGGTATACCCATAACTGCCATCACCTCTAGCAGGTATGTAATAACAGAATCGGCTTTTTCAGAGTTAAGGCAGTAGCCCATTGGAACCCTGAGAATGTGTCTCTAGTATGATGCACATATTTCAAGTTTCCAAACTCTGCAAAGTGAAAGACATCCATCTGCCAAACCTCATTTCTCTGAATGCCCTTAGGGTTACAGCCTGCTGGCAATGGAGTTTGATTATAAAAAGAACAGGTAGGACAGTTTCTCACTATCTCCTTGGCTTGTTGCCAAGTGATGGAGAAGTCCTTTTTCAAACCTTTGTTATTTACATGATGTTTCTTATGAAATTCTGAGGCTTCTAGCACACTTCCAATTAAAAAATGATCAATCTCATCATTGCCTTGTGCTAGTGGGCCTGGCAGACTCGTATGGGATCTGATATGAATTATATATAAGGGATTAGTTCTGTTCCTGATAGTGTTCTGCAATTGTATAAACAGTGAAGTTAATTTTGTATTATCAGGAATGAATTCTGCAGTCTCAATGTATAACACAACTCTCTCTACATATTGAGAATCTGTAACTATATTGAGAGGCTCTGTAAAATCCATAAGTACCATGAGATTTGCATATAATTCTGCCTCTGTACAGATGTATATGGACTTTGAGCTACTTTAATTACCTCATCTGCTTTGTAACCTGTCTTACCTGATTTGTTGGCATCAGTGTAGAAGTTAAGAACTCCAGAAATGGGAGTTTGTCTTACAATACGTGGAAGAATCCAGCTTGTCTTTCTTATGAATTTAATTCTGTCAGTTTTGGGATAATTGTTGCTAATTGTTCCCAAAAAGTCAGTAAGAGCTATTTGCCAATATTCATTATCCTTCCATAAAGAGGAAATTTCCTCATTAGTTAAAGGTACTATAATTTTTTCCAGTCAGTTGACAGAGTCTTTTTTTTTTTTTTTTTGGTTCTGCATTATTTATATTGATGGAGTCTTAATTTGCCCTTTAGAATTAAATCAGAAATCTTTTCTATATATGTCTTTAGATTTTTATTCTGTTTATGTGGCAGAAATATCCATTTCAATATGGTGGTCTTCCCTCAAAATGCATTATTAAGGAAGAGAAATTTGTAGGAGATAAAGATGGAATTGGGTAAATGTTCCATTGTAAGAGAGGTGGATGTAAGCCGGGCATTGGTGGTGCACGCTTTTAATCCCCGCACTCAGGAGGCAGAGGCAAGAGGATCTCTATGAGTTCCAAGCTGGCCTAGTCTACAGAGCGAGCTCCAGGACAGGCTCCAAAGCAATACCGAGAAACCCTGTCTCAAAAGAGAGGTGGATGTAGAAGGAAACAGGTAGAAGAGAGCAAGGAAACAGCAGCAAGAAGGACCACGAAAAAAATTGAGGAAGCCATCATCTCCTAACAGTTAGGAGGAAGAGAGCCAGCAAGCAGGCTTGGGTGACCTGCCAAGTCTCATCCAAGATGGCTGCTGAGTGGACAGGAAGAGCTGCTGATGGCCCATCCAAGATGGCTGCTGAGTGGACAGGAAGAGCTGCTGATGGCCCATCCAAGATGGCTGCTGAGTGGACAGGAAGAGCTGCTGATGGCCCATTTCAAACACAGTTTGGTAAATTAGCAGAAGTGAAAGCCAGAATCTAGTGACTCAAGGAACAAGTGGGAGATGAGGAAGAGAAAAAAGAAAATTGTATTTCTAGAGGGAAGGTGAGTTAGTTTTAAGTGAGGAGCACCGAGAATGTGTGGGACACTGAGAAGTCAGAGCTAGCTGGTGGAGGGAAGTAAAGGAAAGAAGGGGGCAGAAATAAAGTCCTTTTGATCAGTGTCGGGCTCTTTTATAACTTCGTGCTCATGTAACCTGGAATTAGCTCATTTCTCCCTCACCTTTTCTGGGATACCCATGTACTTAATAGAACTTGTCACCTCAGATGTAGTCTTTAGTCATTTAGTCTTTAAATGTTAAAGACTATCCAGGGTCATGGATCTGTCCAGCCCTTCCAGCTCTTCCTGTGGATATCTGTGCTCATAAATCTCTAGGAGTGGGATTATACTGGTTGCTGCATGGTGGATTTTTTTTTTTTTGTGTGTGTGTATTAGGGTCTCATGTAGCCCTGGCTAGCCACAAGCTAACTAACAAACTAACTGCACTAACTTGTATAGATAGGGATGATCTGAAACTTCTGACCTCCCTCATTCTAACTCTCAAGTGCTAGGACCACAGACACCACACTTTGGTGATGGGTGTAGAGCCCACTCAGGCTCTAACTATTTAGGTAATTGGACATTTATGGGCTTGGTTTCTACAAAGAATGTAAGAAGGTAAAGTAAAAAGTCGAGTCTTAGACTACCAGGAAAATGAAGCGTTTTTATTCTGTTTTACAGTTTAGCTTAAAAATATTCTATTTAGTTTAAAACATATTCTCAGCTTCTTGAAGAAAAAGCAATCATAAAAGAACTGAATTATGCAGAATTGGAGTGTACAAAGCAGCATTCACTCTTGAAAAGTTATACTACATGTGCCTAGAATCAGCATTTCCAGCAAGATTCTTGGGTAGATGAATCAGCAATGGGCCCTATAGAGGAGAGCAGGGTGAGAGATACCATAATAGAGGGAGCCATTATGGGTTCGAAGAGAGATCTGGCACGAGGGAGATTTCCAGAGATCTACAAGGATGACACCAACTGGCAATCTAAGCAATAGTGGAGAGGCTACCCTAAATGCCCTTCCCCTATAATGAGACTGATGACTACTTCATATGCCATTCTAGAGCCTTCATCCGATGGCTGATGGAAGAAGAGGAAGACACCCACAGCTAATCACTGAACTGAACTCTGGAACCCAGTTGCAGAGAGGGAGGAGTGATGAGCAAAGAGGTCAAGACCTGGCTGGTGAAACCCACAGAAACAGCTGACCTGAACAAGGGGGAGCGCATGGACCCCAGATTGATGGCTGGGAGGCCAGCATGGGACTGATCCAGACCCTTGAGCGTGGATGTCAGTGAGGAGGCCTCGGCAGTCTATGGGGCCTCTGGTCAGTATTCATCCCTGGGAGCCCATCCCACATGGAGGGATGCTCTCTTAGCCTGGACACATGGGCCTGGGACTAGGCCCTGCCCAGGATGATAAGACAGATTTTGGGATCCCCCATGGAGGACCCAACCCTCTCTGGGGAGCAGAGGGAGGATGGAGTGGGGGTTGGTGGGGGGTGGGGGGCGAGGGAGGAGGGGAGGGAGAGGGAGCAGGCAGGGATTGACATGGGAAGCGGGCTTGTTTCTAATTTGAACTTATAAAATAAAATAAAAAAAAATAGTGTGAACCCACGGCTTTTAGTATGTTTGGATACAAACTGGAGAGAAAACCTAGAAACACAAGCACTGTAAGTGTGTCTGTGCACATTCTGTTTGCTTCTTATGTATATGGACCTGGAAGTAGCTAGAGAAGCTGACGGGTGAGCATGAGAGTATGCGCTGGAAGACATTTGTGCAAGGAATCCCACTTTTAGCAACTAGTTTAAGTCTCCCCTCGAGTATATTATGACCCACTAATTCTCCCAACTGTTTCCAATAGTGCTGTGAACCCGCGAAGCCCGTGCTGAGCAGTGCGGGGATCCAGGGAAGAGAGGCGTAAGGAGAGAGACAGCCTCCTCCCACAGCTGCTAGCCAGAGCTCTTTCCGGATGTGGCCCGAGTGGAGAGGGCCGGTGCAGTGAGTTATGAACTACATGGGGAAGCAGAGAGCTCAGGGGTGCAGCTTCAGAAGCAACAGGATGTGAGCTTTGCCTTCCCCTGATGGAAGCAGCTGAGGGGGATGTGGGAGCCCACAGGATGGTGAGGGGCCAACGGTCCTCTAGTGCCAGAACGTGCCTGTCAAGTCAAAATGGATGCGGTCGTGCCTTAAGTGTTTGCTCCTGTTGTCCGTTTCGTGCATGGACTTGTGTTTGCTGCAGAGTCTTAAGAAAGAGTTCTCCAATGGCTTGGTTCCTCTTCCCTCCTTCCTGCTTCTTTCCTTCCCACTTTGAGTTCCCACTTTATAGTATTTGCATATCGTGCTGAGTAGACTTGAATGCAACAATTCTTTTTTATCCCCCCCGTCTTCTTGTTTTAAGATGTTTCATCTCTGTATATGGCCTGAGTGATTCCGTGTTGTGGCATCTCACTCTCATGGGGTGTATCCCAGCGGGAAATCCCTATTCTCTTATACAGTTGTGTGATATGACAACTTATTGCTGCGTTTGGCTCTCACATTTTAGGGAGGACACGAGGTGCGTTTGCTGAGGGAGGCAAGTCTTTTCTTGATATGGCTTCAGAAATCACGTATGCAGAAGTGAAGTTCAAGAATGAATCCAACTCCCCAGGCACCGACTCAAATTCTGCTGCAGGTAAAAAAAAAAAAAATCCAGACTTAATGTAGGGGGACGATAAAGGAAGGGTCATTAATAAACTTGGGCTGATGTTGGTTACTAATTCTCTGAGTGCTCATGTCTGGGATTTTACTGGAGTCGCAGTGGATTGAATTGTTTGTAGACTGACTTTAAGAGCTGTAGAGTTGTCTAGTGAGAAAGAAAAGTTTTCTTGGCGTGTTTTTTTGCTTTTGCCATTTACTGAAATTATATCATCTTGTATATAGCATTTCTTGCTACATAAAAATGAACATAAAATGAAATCATACTTTTCAACATTGAGCTTTCTCCTCTATGCTTGACAGTATATTGTAACTTTGTGAAAACAGCTTCTGTGTTTGGAGCTTTTATCTTGAAGAAACTTTTTCTTCTATACTACAGATCAAAGCAGAGATTCTCCCTGAGTAGGCAGTTGCGCTATACTTTCATCTAGCAAATGGTTTCCAGCCCTGAGATGGTGACTAGCAGACTGAACTTATGCTAAAGAAATATTTACCTCTCGTTGTATATGTATCTTTAATATTTGGACAGTCTGGAAGTTATTTGAATATATAGTGCTGCAACCACGTTAAAGAACACCAAGAAAACATGCTGACATGAAAATGTACTTACATTACTGTGTAAAATAAAAGTCGTAGGCCAGACAGGAGTATTTATGTTGTTTTGCCATGTGGGGAAACATACTATATGTGCATCCTTTAAAATTTGCTGAAAGGGGCAGTGTGGTGTAATTCCATCACTCTGGAGGCAGAGGCAGGAGGATCACAGAGGATTTGAGGCCAGCCTGGTCTACATAATGAGTTCCAGAACAGCCTGGTCTACACAGTTAGACCCTAGCTCATTACACCTCCCACCACCACCAAAAAAACAAAACAAAACAAAAAACCTTGCTGAAAGATATGATCAAAGTGGTTTTGTGAAAATATATTCAAATTATTTTTTCAGATCTCAAAATGTGAATACCAGTCATTTCAATGGTGTAAGTGGGTGCTTTCATGTATCTCACAATGTTTTTACAATGGACATTATTTTCTATTATTTTAAGTGTCTACACTGTTAGTGATTATGTGGTGTGGAGGAGAAGGGAGGAAAAACAGAAACAAGGATGGAACTTACTGCTCATGAAATGCATGTGATTCTCCTTCCAGCTCCCAAAGTGAAGCCCGCCCCTCATCTAAGCAAGCCTGGTGGCCCCTCGCTGCTTTTTACATCTTTGATGGCACTTTTCCTGCTGTTGGCTATCTCATTCTTAGTTGCTTTCATCTGTAAGTATCCCAAATGAACCACCAGGCAATGTCTGCCTTGGATGAAGGGACGTTCCACTGTGGCACTTGGCATTTAACAGAGTGTGAAGGAGAAATATTCTTTGGAGAAAAATAATCCAAGAGTTACATTGTGACTTTTACTTTGCCCTTGGATTTAGCTGTTGTCTTGGGAAAACAATGGAATCCATTCTAATTAGAGAAACTGAAGTGCATTTATGAGTGCACGTGGGATTGTGGAGTGAATGTGTGGGTGTTGTCTTTGTTAGAGTGGGATGTCACATCTGTGTTTTCTCATTGGCACTGAGAAGTCAAGCTGTGTGTGTATACAAGCTGTGTGTGTACATAAGCTGTGTGTGTATTCAAGCTGTGTGTGTATATACAAGCTGTGTGTGCATATACAAGCTGTGTGTGTATTCAAGCTGTGTGTGTATATACAAGCTGTGTGTGCATATACAAGCTGTGTGTGCATATACAAGCTGTGTGTGCATATACAAGCTGTGTGTGCATATACAAGCTGTGTGTGCATATACAAGCTGTGTGTGCATATACAAGCTGTGTGTGCATATACAAGCTGTGTGTGCATATACAAGCTGTGTGTGCATATACAAGCTGTGTGTGCATATACAAGCTGTGTGTGCATATACAAGCTGTGTGTGCATATACAAGCTGTGTGTGTGTATACAAGCTGTGTGTTTATACAAGCTGTGTATTTATACAAGATGTATGTGTATACAAACTGTATGTGTATAGGGCTCCTCCATCTTTGGATGAGCGTGTGGACAAGGAGGAGCCAGGAAGAAATTATCTAAGATGTGTTCCTCAGCTAATTCCTAATTGCTTCTGTCCTGCTCGAGATTATGTGAAACCTAGAAGCCAACTGAGCAGACAGCTGGATTTCTGCTCATCAAAGATTCAAGAATATCTGAAAAATTTTAAAATGCTTGCATATTAGTATATTTAGAAAGTTTTACTCATTCATTTGATTGGTCAGTATCAAGTAGTGGCTGGCCATTTACTGTATGCCATACAGTGAGTCTGACAGAGTCCAGGAAGAACAGGGACTCTGTTCTCCAGAATCTTAGAGGGAAGTCAATGAACCAGTGCCAGGTAGGTACAGTGGCATACTTCTATTATCCAAGATACCTAGGATGTTGAGATAGGAAGACAGCAAGTGTGGCGCTAGCCTGGACTATGTAAAAACTGTGTCTAAAGAAAATGAAGAAAAAATGGACTAGCATCTGCAACATTGTCCAGGAAGTCTTGTGTTGACATCGATTTCCTAGAAGAGGTGACATTTAGAATTTTGTGTACCAAGAATGTCACAGAGGTGTGAGACAGAAGCATGATGGCTGAAGCTCACAGTGCTACATGAAGAAGAAATGGTATTTCCCTAGGTAGACATAGTAGGATAAGAGCATATGTTTTGCCCCTTTATGAAAAACTTAGTTTTTTCTCCTAAATAATATTTTTTATCAAGTATGGTTTTGTGCTTAATAAATCAGCATAAACTTAGTGAGCTAAGACAATGACTTATTTATTTTATGCTTCTATGGCATGGCAATTTAGGTCCACTGAGTGGCTGCCCTGGTCCTAGCTGAACTTAGGCATGTGTATGTGGTCAGTTACGAGTCCAGGCACCTCAGCTTCTGAGAGGAGGAGGCCAGCTGGAGTGACTAACAGTATGACCCACCTTCCTATGATTCCTTAGGATGGCCTGATCTTGTTTACACAGCAGCTTTCAGACTTCCAAGATTGAAGGTGACCATGAGCCAGGCCTCTCAAAAAATTTCACATGAGGGCTGGAGAGATGGCCCAGAGGTTAAGAGCACTGGCTGCTCTTCCAGAGGTCCTGAGTTCAATTCCCAGCACCCACATGGTGACTCACAATTATCTGTAATGAGATCTGGTCCCCTCTTCTGTCCTGCAGGTATACACACAGACACAATACTGTATAATAAATAAATAAATAAATCTTTAAAAAATTTAATTTACTACTAAGTAGATCAGAGTTGATTTTGCTATTCTCTTGGCCAAAGGAAGTCTAGAAGGCATCTCACATACAAGAGTTCATTTTTGTTAACTAGGAAAATTTCGAAATCACATTGCAAAGGTGTGTGGATACAGAAGTTAAAAGTTGTGGTCGCATCATTTCAAATAGAGAATTGATGTAGCTAAATTTAGGTTATAGACGGTGCTTTTGCTGGAATCTGAAAATAGAGTCATTAGGGCAAAGAGAGAAATGAGAAGGCCAATTATAACCTGGTGATGAGGTAAGTGGAAAAAATGAGGGGAGTAGCTTTCAATGGCAAAGAGCTTAGGACCAAGGAAATAGATGCTTGATCACTACCGAGATCCAGGGATGAAGTGGTCCAAGAAGTACAGTGTGACCTTCATATTCTGATGATGTAAACTCAGCAGCCATGAAGTTATTCAAGGAGGTAGACAATGTACAGTAAGTCATAGGTGCAAGTTGGTAGGTGTTGATTTGAGATTTGGGCATATTGAGTCAAACCTAATATGTTTGTGTTTAGTGAGCACAAAATCCCACACATCCAGGCAGTAGGCAAGACCATAGCAACACATGGCCTCACTCGGGAAGATTTTGCTTGAGGAGGAAGCATAATAACAAGACTGTAAGAAGTGTGACATTTTAAAGGGGTGGCTGTAGGGAGAAGTGATTACAGGAGACAAAACCAGGGCAGAGTCATGTCTTAATTGCTAGGAAGGGAACTGGGGTCAAGTCCAATAGCAAGATGGCTGATAAGGGCCCTGGGATATTACTGATGATCCATTTCAAACTTGGCGTTAGTGAAATGGAGGGAGCACGAGTGGTGGGGTGAGGAGGATAAAGACACAGGGAGGAAAGTGAAGAAGAAATTCAGTTCCAGAGAGAAGCCAGGCAGCTTTAAACCTGGAGGGAGCGAGAGCATTGCATGGAGGAGTCAGTTGCTCAAAATAAGAGAGTTTAAGGAAGAAAACAGTGCTCCATAGATATATGATGTATTCTTGTATATTTCACATTCTAAAATAACCTAGAGATGCTTAGAATTAGCTAACCCCCTTTCCTCGCAAAGCCAAGGCAGTTTACATCCTTAAATATGAGTATCTATATCTGCTTCATCTCCAAGAGTTGGCATTTTCATCTTACATTAAGTGTTGGAAAGTATGGCTCACCCCCTTCAGAGTCACGATGGGAATCCTACTCAGGCTCTGTCTGCTTAGGTAATCAGGACTTAGTAGATCTGTATACCAGTAAGTACAAAGTAGAAAGCCACAATTTCTTTCATCAAAATGAGTGGTTTGGGTTCTGTTTTGTGTTGGTTTGTTTGTTTTACAGTTTATTTTCAAAAGTCCTCTCAACTTCTTGAAGAAAAAAATGCTGCAAGAAGTGTCACTTTCACAGAGTTGAACTGCAAAAAAAACCATTCTCACAAAGGTGAGTTAATGTGTTTAAGAGTTTGGTTGCTGGGTTAGAATGTGATGGTTCCGCATAAATTTCTTTCTTTCTCTTTCTTTCCTCCCTCCCTCCCTCCCTCCCCCCCCCTCTCTCTCTCTCTTTCTTTCTTTCTTTCTTTCTTTCTTTCTTATTCCTTCCTTCCTTCCTTTCTTCCATCCTTCCTTCCTTTCTTCCATCCTTCCCCTCTCTCTTTCTTTCTTTCCATTTATTCTTCTCTCATACATTGCATCGCAACTACAGCTTTCCCTCTCTCCACCCCTTCCAGTTCTCTCCCCCACCTCCCCTCTCTCCCGGATCCACTCCTCCTCTATTTGCCTCCAAAAAGGAGCGGGTCTCTCAAGGATATAAACTGAACTTGGCATAACAAGTTACAGTAAGACCAGGCACAGACTTTCATATCAATGCTGACCAAGGCAACCCAGCAGGAGGAAAAGGTTCCCAAGAGCAGGTGAAAGTCAGAGACACCTCCTTGCCCACTGTTAGGAATCCCAAAGAACACCAAGCTACACAACCAGAACATGTATGCAGCCTCGTGCGTACTGACCCTCCCCCCCCAAAAAAACCTCTCTGGCTCCTACAATCCTTCCTCTCCCTCTTCTGTGGGGTTTGCCGGAGATGTCGAAGCATGGGTGTGGGTTCACTCAGGTCCATAGAGAGAAAACTGAGACATGTTAAGAGTAAATTTAGCCATTGCAGCCGCAGGGGACATCAGCTTCGAGGAACTGACATGCATTCCCTATGTCTAGGGAATTTTTATTTTTCTCTGTAATTACACTTTAGATAGTTGATCACCATATCTTAGAACAACTTGAATGAGGCTTCCAAAAAGACCCCTATCTTCAGAAAGTTGGTTCTAAGGTCTTTCTCTTGTACTTTTTCTGTGTTGGAACATCAGGGCTTGCTGCAGTAGGATAGCTGGGCTCTGGTCACGGCGCATCACCATGGCTATTGTTGATTGTGGTATCCAGGTGTCTGGGTTTGGGATGATTATAGGTCTAGGCACTGATTTCTAAGTTTGTCTTTGTTTGGCGGGTGTTTTGTTCCTGGGTTTCTCTTTTGTCTCTGGTCTTTTGGTCTGTGTGACTTAAGGTTGAGTAAAGGTTCTCCTTCAGAGTTGGGGGCTGGAGTTCTGGCAGCCGGCATGTCCTCTTGTTGAAAAGGGTGTCTCCATCTGAGTTGGGGGCTGGAACATGGTAAGGAGGGGAAGGGGTGTTTGGACTAGTATCTGGGGTACACAAGGACAGTGGAGGAGGTCCCTGGGAAGGCAGTCTATCTGGAGTTCTGGTGGTCCTCATGGCCTCTGGTCCAGCAGTTGGGTCTCTGCCTGACTTTACCTGTCCACTCTTCTGGCTGGTGTGGCCTGCACTTGAGTAGGGGATGTCTCCCCGAGCTGTGCTACAATTCTGATAGCACATACTGAGAAGTGGAGTCCTCGCGTACATTTATATCAGACCCAAAAATTTGACATGCATGACTCCATTTGTCCACACAAGTCTTGTTTGTGAAAAGAGTTCTATTGTTCGTAGTTTTTTCTAGCTTCTGTTTCGTTCTGAACTGTCTCTGCACACTTGCTATTTCTCACCTCAGTATACACACACACACACACACACACACACACACACACACACACACAAATATACATATATGTGTACACACACATATGGGGCTAGAGAGATGACTCAGACGTTAAGAGCACTAGCTGCAGGGTCCTGAGTTCAATTCCCAGCAACCATGTGGTAGCTCACAACCATCTGTAGTGAGATCTGATGCCCTTTTCTGGCCTGCAGACACACATGCAGGCAGAACACTGTATACATTATATATATAATTTGAAGAAAATGATGAAGCCCTCTATCACGAATACAAATTAATTAAAGCTTTAATAGACTCCTCGAGAACATTTTCAAATTCATAGATTTCATGTGCTATAAATATATCATTCTAACCCTCACACTGTACCCTATATGAGCATCTTTATAAGCAGACATGGTTGTACAATTCTCGAGTGAATACTGGCATCGTCTCTGATTGAGGTTTATAGTAGGTAATTACCAATACGGAGTCAGGTAGAAATATAAGGGGATTTAATAGGGAAAAGCCTTACTTACAGAACGAACCAGCCAGCCGGTGGTAGTCTGTACAGCAAGAAGCAAAGAGAAACCGAAACCGAAAACGCAGTCCCCCTACTCACTCTGACCACGCCCTCACAAGCCCTTAGGTACTCCTGTAGCCAGCCCCTAAGAAGGTGTGGCTACAGCTTCCCCTACAGAGGTTCACGATTACTAGACTCTCATCTGGGATATAACACTGTATTTAGCTGTCACATACATCTCTTTAGTCTTCCCTTGGTTGGGATGAATTTTCAGACGATCCTTGTTTTAAACGATTCTGAATATCAGTTTTGAGGATGACTGATCTAGTATATGATAGGAAATTCCTGTATTGAAATTTGAGTAATTGCTTTTGCAGAGGAAGATGGCAGGTGTGAAGTGTTAGCATAATCATACCATAGTCTAAACTATACAAATTGCTGTAGACCGTTAATATTGCCTGATGCCCTCCTTTAGGTAGGCCATTTAAAAGTGTGCCCTTTTTCATCATCTGAATCTTTCATTTCTTTTTTTAAAAACTGTTCTTCTTTCATACAGTACATCCCAACTGCAGCCTACCATCCCTCCTTCAGGTCCTACCCATGCCCCGTCCCCAACCCCCCAGATTTACTGCCCCCCATTTCCCTTCAGAAAAGAGCAGCCCTCCTCTGCTCATGGGGCCTTTCCCTCCTACTGTGTTGCCTCCTCCAGCCTTGATATTCGGGATTGTGCCTAGTCTTATTGCATCTTGCTGTGTCATGTTCAGTTGATAAAAGGCTACCTTCTTAGGGCTAACAACCTGGTATTGAATTAGGAGGCCCATCCACGTAGAAGATGAATTCTCCCTCTCTCAACAGTGATTACTTGCCTGTAGCTCTTAAAACTCTAAAAGTAGGGCCACGAATTCGAGAGGGAGGAGGAAGCATACAGAGATTGGAGGGAAGAGAAGGAGGGAAAATGACACAACTATATTTTAAGTAAATGTAAAGAAACAGATCTGTTTTTTTAAAAGTCCATTTCCACAGTACAATTTTTTGGAAGGATGCTGCTACCTATAGCCCACACGATGGTGGAATATTGAGTTAGGTTTCTCAAGAGACAGAATAAAGTATCTGTCTGTGGCTACCCAGCTTCCTCATGATGTTGTACAACACTCTGAGCCTTGTTATGTTTACCACTGCAAACGTAATTTCTTAGCTCTTCACTTAGCACTGCAGGCTTTGGCCGTCATTCTTCTCTCTCCCCCAGCTCTTTGATTGCTCTCTTAGTTCTTTGACATTCTTGTGTCTGTCTAAGCACATAGGAATACATACAAGTGTGTGGATATATCTCTGTGTACCTGCCACGATGTGTTTCTCAATTCTTTGTTTCATTTTTCATATATTTTACACTTCCCTTAGTCAGTATAGGCAGTTAAGGATCATGATAGGAGACTGTATTCATTTATTTCTGTTTTGTCTCTGTTTTTTTAATTCAATTTCTATGGTTTTATTTTCTCTAAACCTTCATTCTACTGTAACTTCTGCATTTAAAAAAGATTATTCTATCATTTTTCAATTATAAAATGAAAAACTACATTATTACAGATATAAAGAGTTAAGGGAACTGGGATTGTCATGCAATTCCATCTTGTTTGTAATTCAAATACAAAAAGTTATATTTACAAAACATGTGATCCTTTGACCCATCAATTCTCCAAAATTCTTCCCCAGGACACAATTAACTACTGTACACAAAGTTGATCTGCTATAATTCTTAGTAGGGGTGTAAAGAAAAGCAACACCCTAAGTCATTGGTGAAAACAGGGGTCTGTTGAAAATATATTCACATATCATTGTAATGGAACACTATGCAATGGTTAAAATGATGTTTTCAAAAATAAAAAGTTATATTTATACACATTGGGTTTTTAATTTTTTTTACTTTCCTGAGGCATTCTATTTTACATTTATTTCTAGAATCTTTGTAATATTTTTGTGAAATATTCTTATCATCACTAATTTAAAAGTCTGTCATAATTTTGCTGCCATGATTACTGACATGCATTATTTAAATTCAACATATAATATCATGAAACTTTCTGGTTCTTGGTATGATGAGTTCAATTCTTTGGAGACCCAGAAAATTTGACATTATGTCCTTGGTGTGTGAGTGCCCTTTACACTGTTTTCTTGATAGCAGGGCCCTGCCCTTAGAGCAGATGGATGTAGACTGGGTTGCTTGGCAACTGAGGGAGGGGCTCCTTGTTGCATCTGGAGAAGTGGGAGTCCCAGCTCCCATGTGGTCTCTGCACACAGCAACTTTTAAATGACTTTATGACTTTGCACTTACATCTCCTTCCTCCCCCATAGACAAAGTCTGGAGCTGTTGCCCAAAGGACTGGAAGGCATTTAGTTCTCACTGCTACTTCATTTCCAATGACTTGGCAAATTGGAACCAGAGTGAGGAGAAGTGTTCCAGTATGGGCGCTCATCTGATGGTGGTCCACAGCAAGGAAGAGCAGGTGCATTGTGGGAGGGAGTGGGGCCTGCGTCCTGCCTGGTGTCTGCCTGTTTTTACTAACAGGAGTTTTGCTGACATGGGTGTTAGTGATGTGGCAGAAGGCTTTCCATCAGATAGCCAGGAAGGTTGCTTCAGCCTTGGCTTTCTACACCTTGCTCCTGCTGCAGTGGAGCTAAGGACCAGAAGGAACCATGGCAACAGAAATGCAAGGCTTGAGGTTGGAGGGAGGGTGATAAGTTTTCTGTTTGAAAGACCAGTGCATGACTCCAGCCCTCTAATGCTTCCTGTAGTAGCAGATGCCTAACAGAGGAGGGCGCAGAGCTGACTAGGGAAACAGGATGGAATCTGGAGAGTCACAGCCACCCATCAGAAATGAAATATCTCAAGTTAATAATGGAGAATGATTAATCCCAAAAATTCTGTCATGCACAACTTTCAAGAATGGTCTTGGGGAAGAACAGAGGGGAGTGAGTCTGAGAGGAAATCCATTATGATCATGGACAGAGGTTGTTTGCAGTGACGTGGAAATCAGGTCTATGAGTGATGACTTTGTGTCCTGGTCAGATGGGGAAGTTGGCCCTCCTGGGGGTGGGTGACTCTTTAGTCCTTGACCCTTCCTTTGTCTTCTCATCTCTGTGTGACCAGAAAAAGTATCACAGTGTGCCTCTAAAATGTACAATTATTGTGCACTAATCTAAAACTTGAAAACTGTTTAAGGCCCTACAGAGATGAACTGTTTATTATATATTTGCATATGTGCATCATATTGAACCTATAATTCTGTGGAGTTAAAATTTTTAAAAGATCTTGTAAAACTTCTACAACAGACAAAGCAGCCCTCCATCCAGGCTGAGTGCTTTATGTTTCCTTCTTCTTAGGATTTCATCACCAAGATCCTGAGTAATCGTGATGCTTATTTTATCGGTCTTTTGGATCCAGGCAATCGAAAGTGGCGATGGGTTGACCAGACACCATACAATGAAAGTGCCACGTGAGTCTAGAGTTACCTAGAGGAGTCGTGGGTCCCGTGGCATGAGAAGACTTTAGGGTGCTCCAGCTGTTGGCTATGAAGCTAATATTGCTCACTCCTGGTGTGGCTGCTGGGATGGAGTTACTTTTATCCCCATGGACTCATCATAGGAGTCCTGTGAGCCCTACAGAGATGAACTGTTTATTATATATTTGCATATGTGCATCATATTGAACCTATAATTCTGTGGAGTTAAAATTTTTAAAAGATCTTGTAAAACTTCTGCAACAGACAATGCAGCCCTCCATCCAGGCTGAGTGCTTTATGTTTCCTTCTTCTTAGGATTTCATCACCAAGATCCTGAGTAATCGTGATGCTTATTTTATCGGTCTTTTGGATCCAGGCCATCGACAGTGGCGATGGGTTGACCAGACACCATACAATGAAAGTGCCACGTGAGTCTAGAGTTACCTAGAGGAGTCGTGGGTCCTGTGGCATGAGAAGATTTTAGGGTGCTCCAGCTGTTGGTTGTGAAACTAAAACAGCTCACTCCTGGTGTGGCTGCTGGGGATGGAGTTACTTTTATCCCCATGGACTCATCATAGGAGTCCTGTGAGACACGTGTTACTATGCTCCAGGTAGAGATGAGGAAATGGAGTTTGAAGAGTACAGAATGATAAGTACCCAGGGCACACAATCTAGGTGCTTACCCGTAGGTGGGCGTTGTTATGCTTCCAGTCACTCATCTATATTTTAAAAAGTAGGATCTATTTTTACTTTTATTTGTG